CCTTGGTCCCCCCCCCACACTCGGCACGTAGCAGCAGCAGCAGCAGCTGCTGCTGCTGCTGCTGCTGCTGCAGCAGCCGCAGCAGCACCGCAGCAATTGTGTCGCGGCAGCACCAGCCGCCGCTGCAGTTGCAGTGTTAGCTGCTGCAGCACCGCAGCAGCTGTCTGGCGGCAGCAGGAGTTGCAGCAGCAGGTGCTGCTGCTGCTGCTGCTGCTGCTGCAGCAAGTTGTTGACGGATTCTCATTTTTGTTTTTGCTGCTGATTTAGATAATTGGGGATAAAAAGACAAACAAATTTAATCCTTTATATACACTCCCTGTTGTATTTGTCACTCTTGCTGCTGTTGCTGCTGCTGCTGCTGCTGCTGCTGTCCTTCCTATTACTGCTGCTGCTCCTGCTGCTGCTACCTCTGCTGCTTAGACGATTAAATACTGCATTGTATTAAACGATACACCCTAGCTAAATCGGCAGACACGCCAATAGCAACTACAACAGCAGCAACAACAGCAGCAACAGCAGCAACAGCAGCAGCAACAGCAACAGCAGCAGCAGCAGCAGCAGCAGGAAGAGCAACAGTATTTGAAACAGGGATGATTAATGAGACAAAAAAAGGCCTTAAAAACAAACGCAATGCAGCAATCATAAAAACAGCAAACAACGAACCTCCTCTCTTCCTGCTGCTGCTGCAGCAGCAGCAGCAGCTGCCGCTGCTGCTGCAGCTGCTACTACAGCTGCAGCTCATACAGCTGCTGCTGCTGCTGCAGTGATTACTGCTGCTGCAGCTGCTACTACAGCTGCAGCGGTGTATATTCTGCTGCAACGGTTGTTGATGCTGCAGCAGTTCTTGCACCTGCTATTGCTGCTGCAGTTGCTGCAGTTGCTGCAGCAGCTGCAGCAGCAATTGTTACGGCATCAGCTTCTGCTGTTGCCACCGCTGCTGCAGTAAAAAATGCCACAATTGGGCCTTACTGCATGTTGTAGCTGCTGCAGCTGCTGCTGCAGCAACTGTTGCAGCTATTGCTGCAACTGCTGCTGCAACTGCTGCTGCAGATATGCAGCAGCAACTGTTGAGCAGCAGCTATAGCAGCAACAGCAGCAATAGCAGCAGGTATAAATATTAGATTCTTTGTCTTTGACTTGGTGTTGCTGCTGCTGCTGCACCTCCATCCAATCCATCACTCGCTGCTTTCCTCTTGGCACTATCTGCCCGCTGCAGTGGCATCCCCTGCTGCTGCTGCTGTTGTTGTTGTTGCTGCTGCTGCAGGATACTGCCATTCCCCACTGTTGCCTCTAGATCAGCAGTGGGATCGAAATCCAATTCCCCTTCTACACTACCACCACCACCACCACCACTACCACTACCAGCAGCATTAGCTGCAGCAGGAGCAGCAGCAACAGCAAAAGCAGCAGCAGGAACAGCAGCAGGAACAGGAGCAGCAGCAGGAGTAAGCTGTGCAACAAGTTGCTGATGCTCCTTAACTGGTTTCTGAAGAGTTTGAATTATTTCATTCGATAATTGCGATCGACGCAAATGGCGAACTCGAAGTTGAATTGACCCTATCAGCTTTGGCCTCTCCTAAGAAAAAAAAAAAAAAAAAAAAAAAAAAAAAAAAAAAAA